TTTTTATAGAAAAGAAGGAGCGAACCACCTACAAAAGTTTATAAACAAGAAGGGAAATCAAGAACAGGTGCACACATATTATTTTTATATTTGTTGCAAAGAGAGGACTGCTATCTGATGCCTTTAGGAAAGCAGTTTGCATAGAATTGAAGACCTCGAAACATCCAAAATCATAATGGAATAGAAAGGATAACCTTGGACAGTGTTTTCTTACTTTAAGTCCTCTATCAAGTCTCCTTTGCTTCGAACTGTCGCCTGAGGCCTTCGCATTAGCAGAAGCTTGTTTGTACATGTTGACCCTCTCTTCCAAAAGGCCCACCATCCCTCTCGCCCCCGAGGGCTGCGCAGCGGGTGACACTGGAGTGGGACTGGGTCTCGGAGAGGGGCTCGGGGCTTTCTGGGGAGATGGTAGGTTTCTAGGCACAGGGGAAGGGGTGAACGCCTGGGAGGGAAGAGTCGGTTCAAAGATGGGGGCCGCCTGGCGCTGAGGAGCAGGTGGTGGCGTGGCTGTTGGAGTGGACTTCTCAGGGCTGACGTGAGGGCTTTTGGAGGGAGACGGAGCTGGCGAGGCGTCTTCCTTTAAGTCTTCCAACTCAGCCTGAAAAAATAGTGTGTTTTTTTTAAAGCTTTTTTTGTTTTATTGTTTTAGTAGAGGTTTTACGGCGTTCGCAACTGCATAAGGTCATATGAACGCCAAAGGGTGGAGGTCAACACAGAAGTTCTTACAGGGAATCGGACTTACTGTTCTCGCCTCTCTAGCTTCAACAGCACAAAGTCTGCTTCGACTATCAAGGCACCCTGGAAATAGCGGGTCCCAAGAGTGTGAAAAACATACCACAGAAGTAGAGGAAAATGACCACAGTAAGGATTAGGAAAGAAAAACCAGCAGTTCGCTGTTGCAGTTCAGGCACAGTTATGACTATGACATTGATGAATCAGCCCATTTACAATTACAATTCTACTGTGCATAAGAACAGGTTAATGTCCCCCCCTTTGGGAACAGTCTAAAGACACTTCAGTCAGTAGCACCGCCCCGGGGGGGTACCATTGACACTACAGAAGAAGCTGAGAGGGTCAACAGAAGGACTGAGCAGTGTGGCCCAGTGTATGACAGATGCCGGGCTTCTTTTGTGATGCGATTGAGAAGGAATGACAATCGTTATTCATCTCGTAGGGAGAAATTTGTCTTGGTCGTTTACAATGGCAGTAGATGTTACAAAAGTAGGTGCACTTGCGCATACGCTCAACAAGGCAGGACATTAGTAAATACATGTCTCACGTGCTGGAACAAACCGCTCCGTAAAACATTCTCTCACTCTCTTTCTCTGCCTCTCCCCCTTCTCTCTCTCTCTGTCTGTCTCTGTCTGTGTCTCTCTGTCTCTCTCTGTTTCCTTTGTAGCACTTTGTGTTCTGTAAACTCACTGCAGTACGGAAATATATCATTTACTGCTGCCCTCAATGATCATGATGATTATTCAACAGCCAAGTAAGTAAGAAAGCATAAAAGCCTTCTTTGAGAACTGAAGGATGATCAATTAGTCAAAATAAACACTATTGACCACGAGCGGTATTATAAAGTGAATATGTGAGAGGCAAGAAAAAAAGTAATGTTATATCATCATCATCAATGCCTATCACCCCTGGCAGGGTACAGGCCACATACACGCTCCTTCAATTTATCTGTCCTGGGCCATCCTTCCAAGCTTGTTCCAAGTGAGCTTTATCTCTCTCATGTCCCTTTCCACGCATCTCCTCCATGTTTCTCGTGGCCTCCCCCTGTCTCATGCTTCCTGTGGGTTCCACTGCAGTGACTGTCATGTGATGTTTCTTCTGGGCTTTAAGATGTGTCCCATTCAACGCCACTTTTTTAGTCCTATTTCTACTTCTATATCCTTTTGTCCTGTCCTTTTATATCACTCGTAAGAAACTTCATTTAAAAAATAAAATATTTCCCAAAATTGATACAGATTAACTGAGTTACCATTTTGAGGACTGAAAATTTATCTACAACTGAAGTTTTTAGAGCATCCCAATATGAAATCAGTGAACAAAATTGTACCCGACCTATCATCATCATCCAGTGCCAGATCTGCGACAGACATCGGCGATCATGATTTTCCATTCATTCCTTTGCTCGGATGCTCTCAGAAAAGCTACGTTTCCCTGATTTTTCCCTGTTACCCATTTGTTTAGGTTCCCTAAGTATGTTGTTCTGGGCCTACCCCTGCCTCGCTTGCCTTCACTTTTGCCAGTGAGAGCTAGATGTTCAAGACCCTTATGTCTATTCAGGTGTCCCAAAAACTGCATTTGTCGTTTCCTGATTGTTTTTAACATTGAGCGTCCCACGTGGGCTTCATCAAGCACTACCTCATTTGATTTCTTTTCCTTCCATGATACTCTTAGCAGTCTCCTAAGAAACGACATTTCTGTTGCCTCTATTTTATTTTCACTGTCTTTAGTGATTGTCCAGCATTCACAGCCATATAGAAGGGTTGACCAAACATAGCATTTCAGGACTTTCATTTTGGTGTTCATTGATATGTTTCTATTTTTCAGGATTGGGCTCATTTTATTGAAACTAGCCTTAGCCATTGCAGTTCTCCTATAAAGTATTTTAATATAAACCTTGGCATTAGCACCAAATCAACAAACCTGAAAGTATTCTGGAACTAGACAGAACAGACAGGCCCACATCAACTCTTCAAATGTAATGCCATTAAGCAATGTATCACTACGACATTTAAAACTTTGCACATTTTTTCACAACAAACTGATTTAGTGCCTATAAAATGGCAGCTTGCACTGTATGCTTCCTGGGAAGTTGAGGTTGTTTCACAATGCTATCAGGTCTGCTGGAGCAATAATATAGATTTTTAAGTGCATATACATGTAGCTTGCTGCTGAGCGGGAATTTGTGCTATACAAATGCTATCTATTATCATTATTATTATTATCATTCTGTATACAAGTTAACTATTTCATAATCCAGCCATTGAACAAACAGCTCCAGTGAACTTCCTTGATCCTCCATGACCTGCAAGAAGCTAAGGATGCCACAACAATCCATGCTGTAATGCTAGCCTCTCACAAGTCATTCTACAAATAACTTACCAATAATTCTGGATCCTCTGTGTCCGAGACATCCTCATCAAAATCATTCATTCCCATGGCTGCCATCTTTTCTATGTCAGCAATTGGCATAGGAGCTGAGAAAAACATTGTTGATTTGATACTTTAGACGGAAATACAGAAAAGGACAATGGATCTCCGACAGAATGATATGAAATACAGCAAAGGACAATAATAAATAAATCAAATAAATTACACTTTTATTGATCCCAAAACGGCAATTTGGTTTACAAACAGAATTTAGACTGCCAACAGAATATGAAATACAGCAAAGGACAAAGGACAACCAACAGAATGATATGATGAGTTCAGTCAAACCTGCTGTAACAGCCACCAAACTTGCTCTAACAGCCACCTGTCTACGACAATCACCTGTATAAACCAGCATTGCCACTTCCTCCCTTGCGTTTTTTTTCCAACATTATAATGACATGGTCTGAGACATTCACCTGTCTAATAATAATAATAATAATAATAATCATCATAATAGATAACCCATTTGTATAGCACTAATCCCAGCTCAACAGCAAGCTGTATGCGCTTCACAATCTATACTATTACCCCAGCAGACATGAGAGCATTCTGAAACAACCTCTGCTTCCTGGGAAGCATCAGTAGAAGCGGCCATTTATAGGCGTTAGAACACTAACATACTGACAAGATCTTTTGCTGTCTTGGCCTTGTACCCATTCCCATCTAGGTGAAGTGAGGAAAATTCATGTAAAGTGCATTCTCAAGGACACAACGTCGGGCCCACGGCTCTAACCCCCGAACCCGCAACCTCACAATTATGAGTCCGGTAGCCTAACCACTAGGCCACCGACACCACTTTTCTCTTCGACAATGGGAGGCTGTCTTAGACAATTTCGACTGTATTCGTATTATGTAGTGCTAAAGCAACAAAACTCGAACCTATAAACAGGGATGGAAACTGATCTGTCCACAATCTACTAAAAGTAAGAGAGAGAGAGAGTGTGAGAGAAAGAGAGAGGGATAGGACTGGAGAGAATGACAGAGAGAGAGCGCGTGAGAGAGGGAGAGAGAGAAACAGAGAGAGAGAGAGAGAGAGAGAGAGAGAGAGAGAGAGAGAGAGATAGATAGAGACAGAGAGATAGAGACAGAGAGACAGAGAGAGAGACAGCCCGAAAAAGAGCGGGAAAGAGAGAGAGAGAGAGAGAGAGAGAGAGAGAGAGAGAGAAGGGGTGGGGGTAGGAGGGATGATAAAGAGAGACAGGGGAGAATGGGAGATACAGAAAGATAAAGAGACAGGAACAGAGAGAAAAAAAGAAAGATTGAGAGAGACGCACTTTCTGAGAAGAGAAATGAGACAGGACATCAGGTCCCACTTTTGGAAAATGACGGAACAAATCAAAATTACGGACGGAAAATTTCCATCCCTGTAAAAAATACTATGCTACCATAAACTGCCCTGATACTTTTACAATTTAAAAAAATTTAAACTTGAAATAAAAAAGTCAGAGAGCCTTTCCAGTTGCATATTAAATCATTATAAGTGTTCAATAACTTTCACAAACACAATAGAAAAAAGCAAAAAACTATGACTATGATAGTTGAGTATCAATGAGGCAAATTTGCACAGTAAAAAGGTCAGTAGCTAATTAAATTAAGAATTTAATTTAATAAAACTACAATCATCCTTAAATCCTTCGTCGAAATTTTATATTAAAAGCCTCCCAAACCTCATTACAAAAGAATAATAATATAAAATACAAAACAATTGGTGCCACAAGCCATCAGATTCAGATATATACTTATTTTACATTCTGCACATAAAATATATAAAAGATAACATGCATATATAAATGCAACAAAAAATCATCATGATACCTTTTCTTTTTGGCTTTGTCCTTTGAACAGGTCCATCATCTTCCCCAGCGAGAGCTGCTAATTCCGCCTCTAAATCATCATCATCATCATCATCTCCATATACCATTGCATCCATGTCCTCGAGTCCAGGCATGGCCCCAAAGCCCATCTGTTCAAGAAGAATTAGTTTATTTCATCATTTAGTAACTTTTAAAGAGTATTGTTTTAAGACATGGTCGAATCACATGCTCGTCAGTTTTGCATGTGTGTGGGTGCACATACGGAATCTTTGGTATCATCTTAAAGCCTGTTTATTTGCTTTGCTTTTGGTGAAAAAAATACCCACATATATCTTGCTTAAAAGTCAAGACACTTGTGACTGAAAGAGATGGTGTCATCTGGTGTCTGAGATAGTGAGAAAATGAGCGCTAAAGTTTGGTGACTTTCAAAGCTTAAGTATCCTTCACAATGCAAATTTTAAAATTTTATGTGCCTTTCATAAAAACGTTTTCAGTAAAATCCATACAATAATGTATAAAAATATACATACAAGACGTTACGGTAAAAAAATAAATAGATAAAAATTGCCAAGCGGGCGGAAAAATGTTGTTTTCATCCCTTTCAATATTATATCGAGCAACTGATACTTCACCATGATGACACACATTTAGTTTCTTTGAGCATGCGTGAACATCAGTTCAAAACTTTTTTCTACGTCTTTAAGATACCAGTTCAAGGTCATGAAAAATAAAGAACATTCAACATTGCAAGAGAATTACATCTGTGTTGTTGAATGCCTGCTTGATAGTCAGTTCAGTACTCAGACTTGATCATAATCTAGGTATGTGATTGCCACTATTTTTCTCTTTTGAAATTCGAAAGTTCATTTACAATAATAGGAAGTCAAAAAAGTAGCAAGAACCATGAAATTTTTTTTTTTTAGCTTTAAAGCCAACAAAACAATGTGGATATGATATCCTTATCTCTGCTGAGTAACACAGTTTTTGAATTTTGACAATTCGTTCTTAAATAAAAAAGTTATGTTTTTTTTAATGAATTTTTTTTGGGTGACTCTCATTTAAGGACAAAATCCCAAAACACGGTCCACATTCTTGGGTGTTTTTGAGGCATTTTTTATAAAAAATTCCGTAGTAAACGGAATACATGAATGAAACTTGGCAGCCTATTGTAGTTTTTCCTGCAGAACCTATATCTATAAAGATATTTGATGTATCTGCAGTAGTTTTTAAAATATCAGGGGAAATGTGTAAAAAAATTAATAGAAAAGAAATGTTAGGCCAAGGACTTGCAGCCAACATTCAAACTCCTGCAACTTTCTTATTTTTAAAAATATATCTACGAAACTTGGCTATCTTTTGTATTTTTTTCTGCAGATTCCAAATCTGCTGTTATTTTTTTTGTATGAAAGGCTGTTTTATCACTGTGAGCGAAAATGTTGAAAAGGTACCCTGGGTATGTTACTAAAATGGGATATCCATTAACTTTTCTTGCAATAGTTTTGTGTATATTGTATAACATAACATACCAGGTGTGCTCTGTGTACAGGCACCAAAAACAGATAGTGAATGACGAAAGCAAACGAACATCTGAAATGGAACAGAAGACAAGAGAAAGTGTACTGACCATGTTGAGTTTATTTGAATTTTTAAAATTTTGCTTGAACCTCCTTAGCATTTGCAATACACCAGATGCGCCCCCCCCCTCCCCCCTTTCCCTTCTAGAACGTGGTTGTGGCTCCAGCTCGGTGTCCACAACGCCTTTTCTTGCCGAAGTTTACCCATCTCCGTACCGGTACAAAATTGGTAGAAAATACCAGTAATCATACATAAAAAAGACCCCTCAGTCACCAATTCTTTAGATTTAATCTATATTTTGTTCCTTGCAAAAGAGAAAGCCATTCTATGAATTTATGTAAGCTACTATGTAGTATTATAATTCCTGTTCCTTGGCACGAAACTGACGAGTCCATGTAGATCTAGGTCGGGGGAATACAGGATCGAGAGAACCGTCCACATCGATCGATAGCGCAAGAATGTGATCTGTTCTCCCTGATTTTTTTGTATGCAGAAAGTCTTTTTATCATATCCAAAGCAAATAAATTTCATGCAGGCATAAAGATAAAGCCTAAAAAGTGCTTTTTTTAGCTTTTGGAAAGCCGAACTGGTGAACATGGTTTCCCCGTCTCTCTCGCGCAGTAGACTTTCCCCGACCTGTTTCTTTATGACGTCATGGAATTTTCCACTCGACGCAGGCTAGCCCGACCTACTCAGTGGAATGCCCGAATGTAGTTGAGTTTGGGTGGTGTTCTGCAATGGTACGCAAAAAGTATGCAACGTACATTAATAAAATTTGAAGACAATAAAGGAGAAAGGTTGTCAACCAAGGTTGTGAAAAAGAAATCCAAAATTCCACCAAATCTGGTGTAGGTGAGTGCTCAAACTTCGGACACGAACAGTACCATAACCAAGTAACCTACGTGTTTTCTTTTTCGCATGTGACTAGTTTGACCTCTTTTTTCTCATTGGCTGCCAAGTTTCGCTTTCATCCATTGAGAAACAAGCCCGTACGAGTGAATGACAATAGGGCACCGTGAGAAAACGGGTCCGGTAAAACAAGCCCGCAGCGCCTATACGGGAGTCCCCGATTTTGGTCCCACTCATCGGCGTGGGCCTTGCTAAAAAAGGGTGCAAAAATAGAACTGAACTTATGTTGTAAACAGAGGATTACTATCTGACGTCTATAAGTTTGCACGCATAGAACTAGAATTAAATAATATAATGTCAATTTTTAGGAGTGTGTAAGCAGTAAGCAGTTTGTGCAGTTCATAAAATAAGACTGAGGGTATATCAATAATTATCAGATTACAAGCTTCACTCTCTCTTTCTTTTTTAACAATAACTGAAATCAGTCTTTGTCCTTGCTTTAGTTTAAGATGAAAACCCACACAGCTGAAAAGCTTAAGTACTACTACAGCAAGGTAACTACACTACACTGATGAGCATGTGTGTGTGAATGGTG